GTAATTAATCTGAGTTTGGAGTATTTAGTGCGTCAGAAAACTGGGAGTCCCGAAATACTTCATGTGGCATACTACAATAAACTCGAACGATACATCCAACTTTTGGGGCAAGATCCGCGTCATAAAAGTAGCACTAGAAACATGATTGTAATAATAGTGGTAACTAGTATCGCATGCATCACAATCCCAACGGTAAGAAAAATACGTCAATCGTTATATAGAAAAGTAGAAAGGATAAAATGAGAAAACTAGATTGAGTGAATGCTACGTAATAAAGCTAATAATCAGGTAATGTGATTAAACAATTGGGACCTGCAACCGATAGACAATAGAGTTATTTGCGTCCTTGCATAGAAAGGATATGGATGGAGTCATCGAGTGTCTGTCATATTTTGTCACATCTTCCACCAGTGCTGTTAAAGTATTAAATATGCATTTCAACAAACGAAATGTGCGCAAATATTTTTTTGCATAAGAAAGTTTTGAACTATACAAGACGTATAAAAACTTATCCTTTTTCTAGTTCAGCAAAATGTACCAGCTTGTGGCAAAACAATGGGAGCATCTGAAATTAAACAACGAATTGCACGTTCTAGAGAAAGTCGTCATGCAAGGCAACAGGATGGCGCACTTTTATCGTAGTAAGTAAAGAATTTTAATTCTCAACATGATTTTCAATATTTTTAATGTTTCAAGTAAAATATCCTCCCTAACATATACATAGAATTATTTACACGTATATAATTAATTATACTAACTTTCAGACACTTTAGTATCTTTTATGGTATTGTTCTTACTGGTGCCACTAACTTCTCCAATTCTTGATATTGTCCATCCAATAAACGGAACTCGAAAACGCCAACAACTACTAAGAGTTAATTACATATTTTTCAACAGTGACGACTATTTCTTTTACATTTATTTACAATTATTTTGGAGCACTGTCGTTGTGGTGCTCACCATAGTAGGTGCAGATTGGTTATACATGCTAATAATTCATCACAGTAGTGGATTATTTGCAGTTTGTGGGTAAATGTCATGATGTTATGCAAAAGTTGGTATTAGTCGCCATACTTGCATGTACTAGTTAATATTATAATCATTATATTCATATTAGGTACACACATTTTCATTATTTGTTTTCATAACTATAGATATCAAATTCAAAAAGCAACTGCGAATCTAAATTACTTTTCTGGTGAAAAAGATTCTGATAATTCTACGTATGAAAAATTCCGAAATTGCGTGATGATGCATAAGGAAGCTATACAGTATGTATACATTAGTCAACAACAAAGCATAATAAAAGTCGACTAAATAATTAAAATATTACGAAATATGACTAATATACATCTCCATTAAATATAAAGGTTTTACAATATATTGGACGAAAGCAGCCAAAGTAGTTATTTAATCCAGGTTGGATTAAATATATTGAGTATAAGCACAGCAGCAGTTCAAGTAAAGAACAATCTTGAGAATGATAACGGATACAAATTAAAAATATATGTCAGTAATTAAATATCTCATTTTATTTTTCAGACCGTGGTAAACTTGGACAGACCAGAAGAAGCAATACGAAGTGCTGTATTTTGTGGCGCTTGTCAATTTCATTTGTTTCTACTTAGTTTACCTGGCCAAGTGCTTCTGGATCATTCTTCTGATTTAGCAGATAATATGTATGTGTTTAGAAAATATCCATATAAGCTATAGATATCAATAAGGCTCGAATAAAATTAAATGTCCATATCAAATAGTTACAGCTCCAAATGGTACAAGGCACCCGTGCAAATTCAAAAAGTACTATACGTGATGCAAATAAGATGCAGAAGGTTTTGTTCATTGACGGCAGGTGGATTGTATGAAATGAATATAGAAAATTTCGGAATAGTATGTATAAATTTAACAATATTATATGTATATAGGTACAGTAGTGTATAAAAATTTCTGATTTTTCATTACATACCGCAAAGGCGAGATTTTAAGATACCTTACGAGGTATATAATATATATTAGATTTATACTATAACCATAAAGTAATTATCAATTGTTCTACTGTTTTGAATTACCTGTTATGTCTCCATATTTAAAATTAGATAAAATTTTATCAAATGCCGATTTCACAATGTAAAATTCGAAAAACATCTGGCTGAAAAAGTTTCCAAACCAATATGTTTACTCATAGTATATTAAGTACTATTTACGAATATTTTAATCTTCAGACCTTCAAAACGTGCATATCCTATATTACAATGTTGATGTCCATGAAAGATTGAATATGCATTAGCTGTCGGATGTAATTTCATCCACTGTATGTTATACACAGCTTTACCAAATATAAGATTAGTATAATAAATAGCTGACATGTAATACTGGACATATTGGATGACATTGGCGAATAAAGATGTAAAAACACACCCTTCACATACAGGGTGGTTGGTAACTGGTGATACAAGCGGAAAAGGGGTGATTCCACGCGAAAAAAGAAGTCGAAAATATAGAATAAAAATTTTTGTTTTTAATTTTTTCATCGAGATAAATTTTCCAGTGAGATCCTTTATAACGAGACGTGATAAAGTGCACACGTACCGAGCGAAAATTCAAAGTTGATTTTCTCGAAAACAAAGCCCCAAACGAAAAATTTTTATTCAATATTTTCGACTTCTTTTTTCGCGTAGAATCACTACCTTTCCGCTTGCACCACCAGTTACCAACCACCCTGTATAGTATTAACGTCTTAACACCTAAATCGTACCTAAATAACACACATTCACTACCATTGCAATGAATTCTCTTTACGTTACTTCAAAAACAATTTCCGAACTTTAAAAGGATGAAATTGATGCCGCATAATGGGAAGTGTAAGAATAAGATATATCTATTATTACAATATTCGCGTGTTGCAAACAGTGATAAACATGTCGGTGAAGAATTCTTAATTGAAAATCGAAGAAAGAATCTGAGCTGAATACACCGTGCACAAAAGAAAGGTTTTTAAGCAGTCGGCATTATGAAGAATTTCTTGCCACATATAATCAATACTCAGTTGGTATACCAATGCTCAATTATAATAACTACTCATCCATGTCCTGCCGAGCGCCGTAACATGTGTTACAAGAACTTCGAAAAGCTATCATTGAAAAGCCATCATTTTCGTATCAAAGACGATGTCACAACGTTAAAAGTGATACCGTAGTAGACTACCTGGCAACCAATCGATAAGCTATAATATGTAATGACGAAATTGTCGCATTTCCAGCAACATTGAATATACATCATAACTACATATGAGCATATTGATTTTTGCGACTTCAGAATGAGACCTCATACTCCGCACGACACTTCTTAAACGCGCGATTCCTCCAAAAGCGGTTGCACAAGATAAAGAAGCCGACGTTTGAAACCTGAGACTGCACAACCAGTAAGGGAAAGATATTTATTCCACATCAAAATAAGTGGTTCTTTTTAAACTAATAATAAACCTGTGGATATTTATGCAAACCTATATTTGTAGGAATATAATTTAAAAAATCGTACTCACGCAGAACATGGTTTTGTCTATTACATTCTATGAAGAATATTATAGTTTGAACATTTTATATATTTTTGCATATCATGTGCATTCTTTGCGTTTCTTTACTGAAATATCCTATAAACGCATAAAAATCCGCAGCGTCCAGTGATATTGATGTTATGTTGATTTTATGATTTCTACGGTACTTAATATAACCTCGTGGGGTAATTAATCTGAGTTTGGAGTATTTAGTGCGTCAGAAAACTGGGAGCGTCGAAATACTTCATGTGACATACTACAATAAACTCGAACGATACATCCAACTTTTGGGGCAAGATCCGCGTCATAAAAGTAGCACTAGAAACATGATTGTAATAATAGTGGTAACTAGTATCGCATGCATCACAATCCCAACGGTAAGAAAAACACGTCAATCGCTTTATAGAAAAGTAGAAAGGATAAAATGAGGAAACTAGATTGAGTGAATGCTACGTAATAAAGCTAATAATCAGGTAATGTGATTAAACAATTGGGACTTGCAATCGATAGACAATAGAGTTATTTGCGTCGTTGCATAAAAAGGATATGGATGGAGTCATCGAGTGTTTGCCACATTTTGTTGCATCTTCCATCAGCGCTGTTAAAGTATTAAATATGCATTTCAACAAACAAAATGTGAGTAAATATTCTCTTACATAAGAATATTTTGAACTATACAAGAGGCATAAAAAATTATCTTTCTCTAGTTCAGCAAATTGTTCCAACTTGTGGCAAGACAATGGCAGCAGCTGAAATTCAACGACGAACTGCACGTTCTAGAGGAAGTCGTCATGCAAGGCAACAGAATGGCGCACTTTTATCGTAGTAAGTACAGAACTTAAATTCTCAACACGATTTCCAATATTTTTAGTGTTTAAAGTAATAGATCCTCCCTGACGTATACATAGAATTATTTACACGTAAATAATCAATTGTCCTAACTTTCAGACACTTTAGTATCATTTATGGTATTGTTCTTGCTGGTGCCACTAAGTTCTCCAATGCTTGATATTGTCCATCCAATAAACGGAACTCGAACACGCCAACAACTGCTAAGAGTTAATTACATATTTTTTAACGATGCCGACTATTTCTTTTACATATATTTACAATTATTTTGGAGCTCTGTCGTTGTAGTGTTCACCATAATAGGTGCTGATTGGTTATACATGCTAATAATTCATCACAGTAGTGGATTATTTGCGGTTTGTGGGTAAATACCCTGATATTATGCAAGATTTGGTTGTTAGTCGCCATTTTCGTATGCACGTGAAAATATTGCAATCACTAAATTTATAACTCGTACACATGTTCATTTTTGTTGTCATAACCGTAGACATCGAGTCCAAAAAGCAACTATGAATCCAAACAACTCTACTGGCACAGCTATTTCTGAGAATTACACGTATGAAAGGATCCGGAATTGCACGATAATGCACAATGAAGCCATACGGTCTGTATTTATTACAATAATCAAAAAATTGCGAAATGTCACTAATATACACCTTCATTAACTTTAAAGATTTTCAAATATATTGAAAGAAAGCAGTCAAGCAAGTTACTTAATTCAGGTTGGATTGAATATGTTGAGCATAAGCGCGACAGCTGTTCAAGTAAAAACAATCTTCAAAATGATAACAAACATTAAAAATAGTTTCAGACAAATAATTGTTTATATTATTCTTCAGACAGTGATAAACTTAGACAGACCGGAAGAAGCAATA